AACATCAAAAGTCAAAACCTTAAAACAACAGAGTATGTAAGAACAGCACTTAACTAAAAATATTACAAGCACTTTGAGGGATATAATTTTGTTATCAAATAATAAATTTAGTTCTATGGTTTTGAGAAGGTTAGAATTTATTCCCTATAGTTTTGAATATTATAATTAGTATCCATGGGTTAATAAAATCCTAAGAAATACTAATATTTATGAGAATTTTATCAAACTATAGACTACTTTTAAGTTTTATCAAACTATAAGGAGGAAAATCTAACTTTTTCTAAACCTTAAGGATCAAATTTGTAATTTAACCTGTAACTTTTTGTCCACTAGAATTGAGAACAAATTTTTAAAAAATGTTAAATGACAAATTTGGTTCCTATAGTTTGAGAAAGTTAGAATTTAGTCTGTTTGATTTTAAAACCTTCCTAAATAGTGGTTTGATAAAACCTTCCTAAATAGTCCCGCCTTTATCAAACCATCTGGACTATTCATGAGGCTTTATAAAACCACTATGAACTATTTCTAACCTTTAAATCTACAAGGATGAACTATTTCTAACCTTTAAATCTACAAGGATGAAATAGAAACTATATAGTAGTTTTTTCTCTTATGATATGCACAAATAAAACATCATTCATCCTAGCAAACAAGAAATGTCAAACATTAGATCCTCTATGATAGCAATTCCATGGAATTAGGCAACAGATGGGCAAAAAATATAAGCATAAAGTAACAGAGCAAATATGTGATAAGACAGTTAAAGCAGTTTAATTACACTTCTAGAGATCCGTTGCCCAGCAAGACAGCAAGGTAGCCCATTCGGTGCTTGCATTTGGCATCACACGCGTTAGTTGGCTTCCATTTCAAATCCCATGCTACCTTTCCATTGTGAGCTAAGCACAATACTACTCTAGGCAAAGCAACACTCTCGGGAATAGAAAATTCAATTGAGCTAGGGTCTAAACCAGCATTCTCTGAAACATTATTACATAACAGAGTGTCTTCTCCGGAATATTCACTTATAACATTCTCATTTGCCTGAAGATTGATGGCATTGGATTCATTTTCTCGATTCTCTGTAAGTGATAACATTCCCACGTCATCAACATGATTCTTAGTCTCAACTTTTCTTCTCACTCTTTTCTTCTGAGCAAGAACTTCATCGTCAGAATTGCATGTAGGAACTTCTTGCAAGGTACTCCTTTCAACACTGTTTTCCAGTAATACATGTTCATCAGAGTTTTTGGCAACAACATCAATCTCAAGCAAGTAAGATGAACCAACTAGGTATTAGGTATTCGATAGCCTGAACAAGTTAGTAATTGTCACACCTGTTATCATTGGATTCTTGTTTCTTTTTAGGTCTTCCTCTAGGCCTCTTTGGTTGAGATGGCAAGTTCGATGCCTCATTTTTCTTACGCCCTGGTGGCCTTCCTCTAGGCTTCCTTGGTTGAGATGATAAGTTTGAGGAAGCCACAGAATTTTTTGTCGGTTCTGCTTCATGGCATTCAGTGCCATGCACTACGCACCATATCTGCACCATACCTCTTCCGGTGAGTGGGATACCCATCTTGTGATAAGAAGAGCAAGGTGGATGAGCAGAAACAGCAATATACTGTCATACGAGTTGAGACACGAATAATTAAAAACAAAAATGAATAAGGATTTCTAATAAATAGGGAGAGTGTATGAACAACAAGAAGGCAGTGCCTATCTAAGTGAATGAAAATGAAAGCCATAGGTGAAGATGAATAAAACAATATTTTTCACTTACATTATATGAGTGTCCATAACAATTCTACTTCACAAAAGATCAATTGAAGAGGAAAGATACCTCACATTTGATAAGGGAGTCGGTCCTTTCGTGATCTTGAGGACACCAATCTAAAGCCCAAATCGGCCCACCAACATACATAACAAAGTTTCTGTCAAAAAAAAATCAATAAAACGACTGATTGAGTGTGCATATAAACTGTGAAAGATATCATTACACAAGACACCGAAAAAGTAGCTTCAACTCACATACAACTGACAACTCTAGGCCACAAATAGAAACCACTTTAGCTAATACCAAAGCAATAAAATATGAAACATCAAAGTGGCACCGTAAGCAACACGTATTTGAATCCCATCATATACAGAAAGCTCCACTCACAATTGTCTCACGGGGAAGATACCTACTGGAAAGAGCGTAATAACAAATTTTCGTGGTAGACGCAACATACAAATACCCAAAAGTCCTTAAGGACCGTCATTAAGCATCCATTAGATCAGGGCTCAACTTGACAACCTTGACACTCATACTGAATTTGTTTACTCCTCATATTTCCTACGATGATATCAACAAAAACCATAATTTCCAAACAAACAAACAAGTCCAAAACAACATACCTGAAGTCCATAGATGTGGCGGCTTCAGGCGGTGCTCCATTCTGCATATTAAATTAGGACTTATGTTAAACAGTTGCAGCTCATCACCGGAAAAGAAGAAAACAGGGGGGGAAAGAGGGCCAAACAAGGAAAAAAAAGACTAAGCAGGGGGTATAGTGAAAAAGACAATGCCAATATGTTAGACAAGACTACAAGTCCAATCCAGCACCTTTAGAAAAGCTGCAGACGAAAATTGTGGTAAGTTTACACTGATGTCAGCATCCTTATCCTCGGGGCCGCTCGAGTCGCTAGCAAATTTAACAGTTTTCGGTTCATAATTGTAGTACCTCCATTCCCTAGTAAAGCACAAAAACTAAGTGGAAATTCGCAAAGCAGTGATCGATAATGCATAAAGAAGATTTCACGTCATCTAAAATTCTAATAAGCACACGATATTCAATTCACTGCATGTCAATCACAAACTACAGCATCTTCAGCTGTTTAACAAGCCATAACTATCAAAGAAACTAATCACTGCAAACAATGCCAGAATCCTTAAGCTACATGCAAAGCACAACGCATCATTTTTAAAGAACATGCAACCATACGTACCTTAAAAAAATGGTGGATGATGAAAACCGCTGAATGTCACTTTCATCAATTTCGCCGACGCCATCCTCCCGATCACCACAGAGCTCCGCCATTGTATCAATGGCCTTGAAGTGATTTTCAACGCAATAATCAAACTCTAAAACCTTAATTCCAGGGCCATCGGAACGACCTGCAGGTTGCTCTTCGTTGACTGAAGTAGCCTCCGGTTTCTTCTTTGCTCTGTTTTCCGATTCCTTCTTCTTCCGACTCACTGGTTTCTTCTTCCCTTTCACACAGCCAGTGCCATTGGAGGCTTCCGGGAGATATGGTTGATCTTCCATTGCCATACTCAGTAATGTATATTAGAGCTGATAGAGATTGAAGGCCTATACGTTTACGGAGATTCGATCCCTAATCGGCACCGCTGTTTAGACGACACTTTATAAAGCCAAGAGAAACGCACCGTTTTGGTGTTTTTAAATTTATTTCCTTTTCGGATTTGATCTTTTAGCTTAAATTATCTTTTTAATTATAAATTTACTTTATCTCTGATTCGGTAATTTAATTGGAAAAGTATTTTTATTGTTTGAGTTAATTTAAAAATAAATTTAGATATTTAAATAATGCATTTATTAAAATAAAAATAAAAATAAAACCACTAAAATTTTTTTAAACATCTTACAAACTATAATTCCATATTTTTAATATTACTCTCATATTTATTTATTTATTTATTTTTGGTGCACCCCCACGTTAAATAAACCGACACGTCAACCCCCCTGCTCCTCCCAATGCCACGTGGATTCCACGTCAACCATCCATTTTCTATTTACTATTTTGGATTATTTTAGTATTGGCCAAATCATGCAAAAAAAAAAAACAAACAAAACAAAACAAAAAAAATCCGGCTGATTATTTTATTATATCCACGTCATTCTTCCGTCGAATGCCTTTTTGTGGGTCCCACGTTTCATTCCGGCCCATAGAAATTTATATTCCTAGGATGTTTTTATCTTTTTTATTAAAGTTTTAAATCCAAGAATATTATTTTATTGCAAACTTTTCATACTGTCTACAGAATAACTTTTATAACTTTTTTATATATAAATAAAATCACTTTTTTTAATTTTTTTTTTACGCTTAAACTTATTTTTAATAAAAAATAAAATAAAATAAAAAACTTGAGAGAGAAATTATTCAAAACATGATTTTAAAATAATTAACAAAAAAATTCTTCAATATACGTGGTATTTTCTTTTTTAATATAATACAATCATATAAATTAACTAATTAAGTTTTTATTATTCTATTGGTTTTTTTTTTCTTTTGTGTTAAAGGAATTATTATATAAATATTTTAGATTATTTTTTGTTAAATATTCCATCTACTTTAGTCATATAAAATTAATAAAACATAATCACTCAAATATCTTACAAGATATGAAATTAAAATTAATTTACTAATCTCTGTATTCGTGAAAATAAAAAAAAATAAAAAGATTTATTATACAAACCAATCCATTTTAATCTGCCAAATTTGGGATTTTGGAGAAAATAATGGAACAATAAATAAAATAATCCTATTTATTATTATTTGAACAGTCACTTCAAAATATCAACGAGTTAATAAAAAATCATAACTAATATGAAAGAATAATATTTTTTATCGTACAAAACAAATTGTTAAATAAACCAAAGTTTCAGTATAAATATTTTATTTATGTGATTCCTTTTGTTTTTTTTTCTTGAAATATTAAAAATAATAATCCTTTTCCAACACGTGAGGATATCATTAAACTAATTAAATAATTTTTTTTAAATATTATTAATCCGTGAGATCTCAAATCAATTGTATAATGAAATGAAACATTCTTTATAAGAGTGCGGAAATTCCAATAGACACGTTATAAAACAGTGAGGTAGACAGCGATATGTAACAAGTTAAAACAGACCATATCTGTTTGTAATAGACTTAAGCCGTTACATAACCTTATACAATTATAAAATTGAAAAAAAAATCTTAAAAAAACAATATAGTATGGAAATATAAATTTGTAACTTTTATACGATCATGGTCCAAAACGATCTCAACATACAGCAATTTTCATAATTTATTTCGATTTTTTCTCCTTCTCGTCGACGTAAACCCGAAACCCGTCGGAGAAGGTGGCGGTGAGGCCAGGGGAAAATCGCGGTGGTGCCACACACGGCGTCACCGACCGAAACCGAAACTGACGAATGAGTGAAAGAGCAACAGTTTTCAACTCAATAACTGCCATTTCCTTCCCGACACAAGACCGAAACCCACCTTGAAAAATCGGGTACTTAAACGGATTCGCCGGACAAAAACCGCCGTCTTTCAACCACCGCTCCGGCTTAAACTCAAGACAATCCGAACCCCAAATCTCCTCGACCCGTCCCATGGCATATGGATGATAAGTGACCCGAGTGCCACGTAGGACGAATGTCCCATCTGGCAACACGTCATCATTCTTGCAAAACTTAGAGTCGAACTGAATCGGCGGGTAGAGCCTCATGGACTCGAAAATGGCCGCTTGTAAATAATAAAGTTTCCGGATTTGGTCGGAATTTATTGGGTCACAACCGGCGCCGATGACTCTGTCGGCTTCGAGTTCGACGGCGGAAGCGACGGCGGGATGGGTTGAGAGAACCCAGAAGAAGCTGGTCAGAGCAGAGGCCACCGTGTCGCGGCCGGCTAAAAGGAAGCTGACAACGATGTCGCGTAGGTATGTCTCGTCGGAGACAGTCCGCATGAACTGAGACAGAAGGTCTCTGCCGGCGGAGATTCCTATTTTTCTTCGCTGTCGGATTACTTCTTGAGCTAAAATGTTAATTAGCTTAATTGCTTGTTTTAATTCCCTCTCGCTACCTGCAAAATTAAAAAATTTAAATCAAAATCATAATGGGTTTATGTTTAATTTAGTGTTTATGTACCTAAATTAAGCATCCGCTTGATTTTCCAGATGAACGGAGAGACGGCCATGGCTCGTTGAGCAGAGAGCTTCGAAGCAATATCAAACGCGACAGCAAAATCCGACATCGGAAGAGACAGCTCCAAGCACATCGGATCCAACCCAAACGAGAATTTACAAATACAATCAAAAGCGAATCTTCTAAACACATCTTGCAAATCCACCACTGCATCGCCGGCGGCAGAAACAGAGGAAAGAAGCGGGAGAAGCCGGGAATCAATTTCGTGACGAACAATTTCAAAGCAATACGATCGAATCGGCTGTTGTCCGAGTTCAAGAATGGCCATTTTCTTTTGAAACCGCCATGAATCGCCGTCGACATTGAAAATCCCACGGCCGAGAAAATCGCCAAGAATGGAGGAGAAGGATTTTCCTTTTGGGTAATTTTCGAAATTGGTTTTGAGAATGTATTCGACGTTGTCGGGATTGGCCGTAATCGTGTTCCGCAAAACGTGGATGTGAATGGTTTTGGTCGGAGATTGCCGGAGAAGATGGGTGTACCAATCGCAGAGGTTGCAGAAATTTTCCGACCAAGAGGAAGCCAAATAAGCTTGGCAAATTTCACAGTTGCACAGAAAATTAGGCTTCAAGAAGAAGAAGATTACAAAGAGAAATAATAAAAAGAAAAAGAAAAGGACAAGAAATGGATGAACAAAAAAGGGTATTTCCATGGAGAAAAAACAGAGTCCGATGAAGAAGAAGAAGAAGAAGGGTTTTAATGGAGTTTTTACAGTAATGTTTTTTTTTTTTTTTTTTTTTTTTTTTATAGCTAAGAGAATCTTTCGTACACACATTTGCTCTGTGTCATGTCTTAATTAAATTGGATTAAATTAGCCTATTTGGTTGGTGATATATATTATTTATTTATTTATTATTATTTTGTTAAGGGGTTACTACTTACTAGGTGGAATTTTGGTTTTTTTTGGGAGTGTGCCAAATAGCTGGATAGATTCGTAAAAGTAACAACTAGAAGGTTGGTAAGGTTAGAGACCACCGGTATAAAACATGTAAAACATGCGAATTCTTTTTGTTTTAGTTTAAAAACAAATAAAACAACTATGTTAAATTATTGAGGATATTTAATATTTTATTATAAGATATATTGTCGGTATCTTTCATTTATGGTTATTTTCATATCCTTGTAATTTATTTAATTATAAATAGAACTTTCACATCATTTAAGTGCGGTGGTTTTAGCGGACATTTTCAATTAAATCATTCAAAAAAATAAAATAAAATAAAACGAGTTTAATGGTTGATTACTTAAAATTTAATATTTGACCTATTCTCTATCTCGACGCGTAAATTTTATTTATTTTAACAATGAAAAATTAGAAATATGAGAAAAAAATACGAGAAAAAAGTGGTTTAAAAAATAATATTTGAACTCAAAATACAGTTGTTAGTAATTAGGCCAACCATAAAAGTTTAGTGGACTATTAGTGACCAAATTATTAAGTAAAAGATTTTTATTAGCATAAAAAAAACTAATTTGTAGGGATTTTTTGAGTCCATCACCTATTATTCCAACGGTCAATTTTTGTTTTTGTGTAAATTTTATTTACGACTTACATATATTATCTAAGAATTAAAGCGGAAGTGATAAGTGTTTTTCTTCGGTTAAAAAAGAGGGCTGATGATAAATTAGACAAACACGTCAAAAATCTCCAAACCGATTTGGGTGACGGATATAAATGCCCAATTTCACATCTTAAATAATCTGACATCGACCTTCGTTGTTACTATCCTCATTCTCATCAACAAAATGGTCGAGTGAATCACAATCACATACAAACAGCTGAAACAGGGCCATAGTAATATTTCAAAGATTTGGATGTCGCATCGTAACACGGACCAAACTAATTATTAAATATAAAGATCAGAATGATACACAAACATTTATTATAGAATTTATAAAATTAATAATGCTTTAAGTTTTAATGAGTTACTATGCTTGGAACGTAATTAATTATTTAGTTTTAATAATATTTTCTAATAAAATTTTTTAATTTGGTTTATTTTATTGAAAAATAAATTATTTATTATATTTTTAAAAAAATGGGGGAAAATGACTCATTGCCAAAAAGTCAAAATATCATCCATGTGAAAAATCCTACGAAATTATTTGATATTAAATAAATATTAATTAATTTTGTGCAAAAATCACCATTATTTGACTCCCAAACCACATAGCTACTTTAAAATATAACTATAATTAATGGCTTAATTATAAATTTAGTTTATATATTAAATTAAGCCTGCCCTTCATAATTAAAAAAAAATAAAGAAAAAAATCAAAACCCAATTAAAAAAAATTATTAGTGAATGTCTTAGCTAGTTGAGTTTCAATCAGATCAACAAGATCACTATATTTATAAAATAAATTTTACACGTGTCTAAACTTTTTTTTAATATGAGAGCACCGAAATATATATATATATATATATATATATATATATATATATATATATATATAATAATAATAATTAATGGAACGACATAATTTAGATTAAGCCAAATGGTTAATGATATTTTGAAAGATTAGGTTGAATTTAAGGTTCGATGGTCAAACAAAATGATAATGATGAAGTTAGGTCCATTATATAAATATAAATGATCACATGGGCAAGTTTAATTAGATAGGGAACAGTGTTCCAATTAAGGAATTGTGTTGTTAAAAGAGATGCAATAATGAAGAAATTTGCATGTGGGGATGGCAATTGGCCACCAACTACCATTGAAGACCACTTCTAGTTGCTTCAATTGTTCATACATTTGTGGGGTTGGGTCATTGCCTTCTTGATGTGATGTTCCTCACTTTGATGAGTGGTGCCTATCCTTAATTATAATAATAAATGAAAGACGAGCTCGATCCAATAAAATTTTAGTCTTGACTGAGCTGACACGTGATGATTTCACTAAAATAGAAAGAACCCATGTGACGATTTTCTTTCCTTTTTTCTAAATTGTGAATTTGAGATATTCGAACATCTGATTTCTTGGTTGAATATCAAATTTACACATGTCATCAGTATAGGTTTGATATCGTGGGATTTGATTTGATTTTTTTTTTTTGTTCAATTATTGAGTCATAATAGTTCTTCTTTAAGTTGCACGTTTATCCTTTGGCTTAGGTGAAATCATGCAATCATGATCTAAGCATAGACTTCAAGATAACTATCACCAAGTTACGTGTACGATTGCCATATCATAAATTTGTCTTTCATCTTTTTAGTTTTCATATGAGCTTGTTATTCTTTCTATTAGATAAGGAGATTAAGTTCATAATGGTTTTATTAGTCAATCGATACTATTTTTTCCGTCCCTAAAGTTTCAAGTCTATGTCTAACAGATTCCCTGTACTAAATAAAAGTGTCACCATATCCTTAAATTTTCAAATTTATAGCTAATAAATTAGTAAATTGCAACATGTTTTAAATTTTGTGTTTGATAGATCTCATTATATTTGAACATTTAAAAAAAAAAAATTCATATATTCAATTTTATACCTAGCAGGTTCGTAAATTCTAAAGAGTATAAAACTAGAGGACGGAAGCTATGAGACTATAAAGGAGAGGAGCGACTAGTTGATTTACCAAACCTCGACCCAGCGTCCCACGTACTCCAAGTCCGAAAGGATCCAGTGTCGAACTACCGACTCCTCCCAAAATTGCATTATCGAAGCTGAGCCAAGAATGACCATTAGTGGACACCCACCACTTTCCACCGGTTGGAGAGAACCTCTTTAATACATTCAGAAAAGATGTTCACATGAGCAAAAAAGACTCGATCATAGGAACTTAGACACCACCTACACACGGGCAAACAAAACGCAAAATCCAAAATATTAGAGTTATCGAACTAAATAAATATTAGACAGGTAGGGTTAGTAAACATAAACTTTACAGTTTAGGAGTCGGAACATATAATATATATATATATATTAGGGTTTAGGGTTTCTATTCCTCATTCATCCCTGCAGATTGAGTGTTGACATTTCATCACATGTTTCATATCAATGTTGTAATGAAACTTAGACAAGGGTCAATGCCCCATCTACAGGCACTTGGTTGTTTGGCACATGGAGGCATCAACTTTTTCTTGTTCTTTAGGAACACAGTAAACTTGGTTGCTGCCTTTGTCTGGCTTGTTTTGGGATGAAAAAGAAAAATGCCGTATAAAACTAAACTTATTTCAAGGTGGGTTCGCTCTCAATTTGATAAGGTATATTGCATTCAAACCCAGAAGAAAGAAGACCAAGGGTAATAGAGCTAAAAATGAACTTGTACAAAACACGGAATCTGACTATAAAACTCGAGGATCCAGTTGTTCATATTAGGTTTCTTAGGATCGCACAACAATACACACTCGATCTAGATGAACACAAAGAATAGGATAGAGAAAATGCAAAGAGAATATTGGCTAAAGATTTAGTATTGATGACTACAAAGTAGAGTAGGATACAGAGAATATAAAAAATACATTTTCAAAGCTGGATATATATATGATTTAGCTTACTAGATATAATCATCTACTATATATATAACTATCTACCATACCTAGCTTTACCTTACTATGCATTATTTATGACAATTTACTTTATATGTTATATGTCATTTACCAAATATAGTTTTACTCGTTGACTAAGCTATAAATAAGTATCAAGCTCCATAACCTAATAAGGCTACTTAACAAGGTTGGTATAAACGTTGACTAAGCTATAAATAAGCATCAGACTCCATAACTTAACAAGGTCGGTATAACCGTTGACTAAGCTATAAATAAGTAACCTAACAAGGTTGAGTCGACAACTTACTTATAACTTATAGTAAAGCTGCTGCTATATCAGGCTGTATATGTATGCACTGGTACTATGTCTGGGTAAAGCTATATATAAGAAGCTGATCATATACGTACCCTTTATCCTTTAGACAGTGCTTTGAAAATGTACTTCCGGCCTCCTACATTCTTCTTTCAACATACCAGACGTCATCTAAACTTCAAACTTCAAAGTCAATATTCCTCCTTACATTTTCTCTCTCCTATTTTTTGTGTTCATCTAGATTGAGTGTGTGTTGTTGTGCGATCCTAACAGACTATAGAATGAATGGATCCTATTCAAGCAAGGTTGCAGCCAAGAAAACAAAAAAATCAGGCATGAAAACTTGTCCAACAATAGAGAGAGAGAGAGAATTTGTATTCAACACACACAGAATCAGAGTCAGAGACTTCAATCTGAAACCATGGGAAGGGAGAGATAGAGTTTGTATTAAACACACCAAAGAGTCAGTGCCCTCAATCAGAAACCATACAAAGGCTTGATATAACTAAAATTAGCTATGAACTTGACCAGGAAGATGAAAAGTTTCATACACATACCAAGAGAGAGAGAAAAAAATTAGCTCTGAACTTGAAGAAGAAGATGGAGACTTGCATAAAGACACTGGGGGGGGGG